AGTTTATTTTGTCACATATTAAATCAGTGACTTCTGCTTATTTGCTGTGTCTATTTCCATAGAACACCTTTTTTCTTCATCCTTTCACCCTAAGGTAGTGTCTGTCTTCCGTGGTGAGGCATGTTTCTTGGAGGCAGCAAATAAATGGTTCCTGCTTTTTTTATCCAATCTATCAGTCTATGTCTTTTGATTGGAGGAACTGAGACCATTGGTATTTGTCGTTATTACTGAAAAGTAATAACTGTCATTCTGTTGATTTTGTAGGGTTTGGTTTTCTCCTCTTCTTCTATGGTTTAACTATTATTCTAAGGTGGTTTATTCTTTCCTTCAGGTGAGTGGATGGGTTTGGTTTTCTCTTCAGTCTGAAGGATTCCTTCAGTATTTCCTGTAGAGGTGGCTTAGTGGACATAAATCCCTTTAGCTTATGTTTGTCATTGAAAGCCTTTATTTTTCCTTCAATTATGACAGATAGCTTTGCTGGGTATAGTAGTCTGGGTTGGCAGTTGTCATTTAGAACTTGAAAAACATCTGTCCAGGCCCTCCTGGCTTTAAATTTCTCAGTTGAATAATCTGCTGTTACTCTGATGGACCTGCCTTTGTATATGACATAGAATTTCTCTCTTGCTGCTTGCAACAGACTTTCTTTGATCTGTATGTTTGGAGGAGGGCGGTTCTTCTCTGGTCTTGTCTGTTTGGTGTCCTAAATTCCTCTTGGATCTGGACTGGCAACTCTTTTCCTAACTCTGGGAATTTTTTTATTCTGTTAAAAATGTTTTCTATGTCTTTACAATCAGATTCTTCTCATTCTTCTGTGCCTTTTGTCCATGGATTTGTCTTTATCAGAGTGTTGTATATATCGTGGACTCCTCCATGGCACCTTCATATCTTGGTCCTTGTTTGATTACTCCAATTCCTCCAACTTATCTTCAAACTGAGGTATTCTGCCCTCTCTTGATCATTCTGTTGGTGAGACTTCCTAAAGAACTTTTTATTTGATTCATTATGTTTCTCATTTCCAGCATTTCACATTGGTTTTTATTCAGTATTTCTCTTTGTCTGATTTCTCTTTCCTATCACACATCTCCTTCCTTATTTCATTCAGCTGTTTTTGGTCTCAACTGGGAACTTTTTATTTCTTTGAACACATTTAAAATCATTCTTTTGAGTTCTCTGTCTGAGATTTCATTTAACTCTCTGTCACTAACTATCATTATTATAAGGTTAGTAATTTTAGAGGAGTTCTGTTATCTTGGTTTTCATGTTTCTTATGTTACTGTGTTGGGATTTGTGCATCTTGTGTCATTTCTTTGCTTCATTTATTTTTTGTCAGCTCTATTCCTTCAGTTGAAGTATTTTCAATGGTCACATAGGACTTGGATGTGGTAGAGTTGAGTGTGTAGTTCAGAAAATAGCTCCTCAGTCTAGGAGCTCAGGGCTCCTGGTTAAACTCTGTATTCTTCTCTGCATAGGATATTAACTGGGAGAACAACCATAGCTACTTGCTGTTACCAATGAACAGCAGAAGACCCTCTGACTTCAGTAACTATTGGAGGATAAACAACCAAAGATACTGTGGAACATAGCCAGATTGTAGTGTAATTAAATAATAAGTAAGAGAGAAGAGGGGGTAAGGATGGAGACTGGGTATTAGATCAACTCTGAAAAGAAAAAATGTTGAGGTGGGAAAAGTAACTAGGAAGTGAAAGTTCTGGCCCATAGATTTTAGAGATTGTTAAAGCTACAGACGATTATCATTAAGAAGTCAAAGGAGGGGGCAGAAGAGATGGCTCAGCAGTTAAGCACACTAACTGCTCTTGCAGAGGACCCAGGTTCCCAGCACCCATATGGTGGCTAACAACTGTCTGTAACTCCAGTTCCAGGGTTCCTACGTCTTCTGATCTCCAAAGGCATTGCACCACATAGGTACAATATACACATCTAGGCAATATACTCATACGCATAATAAAAATAAAATGTAAAGAAAGAAGTCAAATGAGGCAGTGATAAGAGTGAAAGAAAGAAGAAAAGATGTAGGAAGAAGAGGAGGCATTTAAGAGATGTGGCTGAAGAGTTCAGTAAAGAATGTCTCATAGCAACTCCATGGAGAAGCATAAACAACAGTCCTAAAACCTTACTGAGCAATCTAAAAACAAGAGCAAAGTCATCATGAGACACATACACAAGAGTAAGTTAAAAAATGGAAAAGAAGAAAGAAAAAGAATATGTATGGAGTGCGTTGCCGGCATGAGTGAAGTTCTCATATTCCCTTGGATCTCAAAGGCTCAACATGGCGCTGTGTCAGCTCCCTCTATTATACCCTTCTTCTGTGCCAGACACTGTGCTCCAAGTCTCAAACCTACACACCAAATCAGTACAGCAGGTTTTATTGTTTTGTTGAGAAACCTAAGTCATGAGAGGTTGAGTGACTTGCACAAAATTACACAGCTGATAAAAGATAGAGCCAGTGGGGCTAGGAAAATAGCTTTGTAAAGTGCTTTCTTTGCAAGCACAAGGACCTGAGTTCAATCCTCAGAATCCACACAGAAAGCAAAAAACATCAGACACAATGTGTCCTTTTATCCCAGTGCTGGGGAGACAGAGACAGGCAGAACTCTTGGGCTCGGCTGCCAGCCAGTCTAACCCACTTGGTGAATTCCAGAACAATGAGACACTTTAACTTTAAAAAACCATGGGTAGGGGCTGGAGAGATGGCTAAGTGTTTAAGAACACTGGTTGTGCTTGTCGACGGTGGTGCTCATTCATTAAAGGAGTGCCAAGCAGGGTCACTGGACCCTCACCTGAGTATCCAGCCACTCTTCCCAGCCAACTAGTCCAGCCTTGGGAGACAAAAGAAAAATGAGGAGGAACCCAATAGAGGGATGCTTTTGGAAGCCCTCGTCAAGAAATTCCAGTGGACTCTCATATGGACATTTGAAAATTGCCCTGTTCTGACTTTTTTCTAGTTCCCTGTCTAGAATTTGCAACGCTAATTACTCTTGCCTTTACTTCTTCACATCTCCTATTCATGAGTCAAGGACTTTCTTTTCCCTTTAGAGACAAGAGTTATGCAATTTGGGAGTCTTTAGGTAGACCCACTGAAGGGTTATTCCAATTGCCTCACCCTGCAGCCCTGATCAGCATGGAAGAAGCCAGAGTACTTTGGATCCTGATTCCCTATTGGCAATTTGGGTAACCCCTTC